AGCCATTTAACATTAGCATTGAGCTATCACGTCGATCACTGATATCGTTAACATAACTAAAACATTAATCCAGTGAGCCAGAGATGAATAACGTTGCAATTACGGAGTCGCACTACGCATTATATTGCTTAATTACATTTCAAAGACATAAAACTGATCCGTATGAAGCAATTTCCGTAACTTTAGAATAAAGTTGCAGCTATATCTACACTGGAGTACTATATATTGAATTTCATGAGTACGGTTGTATAGTATATATAGGACAATTATTTCATGTAATCTCATTACATTATAATTATATACGTAGTATATATATACCTATCTAGTTCATATTAATTGTCACTGTCACATTATATGGGTGGTGAAACATATGCGTGCACATTGCGCCAAGAATATATGTCCCGGGCCCTTGCTACACGAACTACACAGGGGCGTTGCTCATTTCTTTTATACTCCCTCCGTCCCAGGGAGAAGTTCCCGGGTTGACTTTCACACATATTTAGGAAATAAAGTTACTGAGGGGTAAATTTTACTGTTTGGCACTGTTTCGACACTGTTTGACATTGTTTCGACACTGTTTGGCACTGTTTGACACTGTTTGACACTTTTTTTATGTAGGATAACTTTCCATTTAGGGAAATGAGAACTTTTTGTTAGGACTACCAAAAAAGGAAAGTGGGAACTTCTCCCTGGGACGGAGGGAGTAGAAAATGTCACAAGAGACAAGAGAGATCATGATCGAGTTTAATTCCATATAAAAAATTGGACCCTAGTTTCACTCTATTTTTTTTATTAATCTACAATCAAAACTCACTTTACATCCTCCTAAATCACTGTCTGAATGATGTCTGAACGATTGTGACTCAGAAATGAGTGTCATTTTTTAGTGATTTGGAGATGAAAAATTCGTGACATTATACCAACTACTGTGTATACACTATGTCCCAGGCGAAATGAAAACGGCGAACCGATGATAAATGAGTGACGACATGATCTAGGCGAAATGTCTAGTCGTGAGGGGTAATGTTAAAAAATTTTCCACCCGATAAAATATGAACCAATATTATCCCGCTAAGGTTGTCACATCTTTCATTTTCGGTCTATCCCACTAAGATTGTCTCATACCAAATTTCATAAAATTTATGTGGTTCTAAATTATTCTTACTTTATCAATTCAATATCAACCACATCAACTCACTTTTCTTAATAAATGTACCTACGGAGAGGCATAGCTCAACTGGTAGGAACGGGGTGCCACTAGGGATAGGTCACAGTTCGGTTCAACTTCAAGCAATGACTTGGGCTGGATCCACTCTCTTTTCATCAGAGTGAGATCAAAGCTCAACTTACATCATTCCAAATAATTGTTCGGTCGATTCTGGAGGGCCCTTAGGGATGGAGTGTTATTTTCTCTCTCTTAATAACTTTATCACCTCTTCATGTTACCATGTTAGTGAGATAGAATGTAGTATCTCATTCTATGTAATTATTTGCCACCAAGTATTTGACCGTTAAAAACAAAATAAAACTACGGAGTATTTCAGTTTAATTACGAATTTTAAGAATTCTTTGGACCAATTCCGATCCGTATTTTCCTAGCTTAGAACACTAATAACTAAGTTGACAGAAAAGATCAGGTCCCTCCAGAGGGACGGGAGGGACCGTCCGAACTTTACTGTTTGGGGCGGTTCCCGGTGGAATTTTTTGATGAACATTTTTGAGCATGTTCCTCATCAAGTCTAGTTTGTCCATACCAAATTTCAGCTCAAAATTCGACCGGGAAGGCAGTCAAATAAATTCTTGAAGCTTACTGCACATTCTGCGCATATATAAAGTGCAGTAAGTTTCAATAATTTATTTGACTGTCTTCCCGGTCGAATTTTGAGCTGAAATTTGGTATGGACAAACTACACTTGATGAGGAACATGCTCAAACAATTTCATCAAAAAATTCCACCGGGAACCGCCCCAAACAGTAAAGTTCGGACGGTCTCTCCCGTCCCTCCGGAGGGACCTAAGCAGTCCTCACTAAGTTGATCCCAAATTTTCGAAGAATTTATAAATTTAAGAATTTGTTGAAGTATTTTTTATACCAACTCAACAGAGATGGACATGAATTTTTTTGATGAATAATGTTTCTGGAAATTTCTGAATACCCACTGAACAAAAATATGGCAGATTTGTTTTTTTTTGTATGTGTTTTTGTATGGAAGAAGACGGAATTTCAAGAACGTAGGAGTATTTTGATATAGCTTCAGATTATATTGTAAGCCAGCTGGCAAACGATTTTATTAATTAATACTAGTTGGCAGTTGATGATATAAAAAAAAGGACGTAGGAATGAATTTGATGTTTTGCCACACTAAAGGATTAGTGATAAGAAATTAAGAAAATAAACCACTAGTAAACAACTCGATATTTACCCGTGGAGGAGAAGCCCCTTACAAAACTCAAGGAGCAAAATAATATTTGCTGAGCAAATATTCCCAGAAGCAATTCTGTAAATTTTGAATTCAACAAAGACTGCCTAATACACAAGCCAAAGGGTCCATATATATGCATAAGGTCATCCCTTTTATTTAGGCCAGCTAAAACACACTAACTAATTGATCTAATCTAAATGGTTTATCCCAATTATTCATAGATAAAACATGTTAACTAACTGATGCTAAAATAAAGGAACTCTGAAAACAAACTCCTAGAGATTTATTCTTTAGCTGCCGCAGCTCTCCCCAATTAATTAATGATCATTTAATTAAATTTATCTATTGGTGATCCATCTCATCTCCCATAAATATTAATTATGTGGCCCCGTCGGCAGATTGAATCTTTAGCAGATTAACCACATTCTCTTCTCGGTCTGACCTTGATTCTGAAAGACTCTCGCCATTAAAATGAACACGTATCAGTCTACTCAATGCCTCTTGTAATGCCTTAGCTTTAGCCCTTGTGACCGGTGCACTTGATATCTTTAGCGGGTCCTTGGTTCCTGTGCTAGCCACATCAATTTCTCACATGGAAATACATGAACTAATACACTACTCCGTATTATATTAGGATTTGGGTCTACATCCTGTTAGAATATTATCTTTCAGGATGACACTCTAAATCTTAAGATGAAATCAGAGTTAAGTCTGGGCATGGTTTGATTATTACTTAGTACCCATGATTAATGGTGTTTTGTCTGATTAATACCCGATGTTGTCCATTCCAATTTGTCCTAAGGGGACACGTTGAAAAATTTGTCCCGAATTCGTATGAAACATATAAAATCTCGGCTACTCGTCGTCTTATCAGATTGACTTTTTGACATGGAATTATGCGTCCTTATAGAGCCAAACTTATTTATTCATAATCATGGTGTGAGGCTCCTTATAAAAATGATGACGATTGCAAAATATGCCAATGAACCCATAAATATGAGTGACACATGATCTAGGCAAAATGTTGAATATATTTCCACTGTTAAAATATGAACCAATATTATCTTACCCCCTCCATCCCACTAAGGTTGTGGCATCTTTTCTTTTTGATCTATTCCACTAAGATTGTCTCATGTCAAATTTAATAAAATTTATGTGGTTCTAAATCATTCTTACTTTATCAATTCAATAAAACACATCAACACACTTTTCTTAATATCGTAACTGCATCTCACCTCCTTATTGTGTCCCAAATGTTAGCGGGACAGTTGGCTCCACAGCAGGCTACTGCTCCGTGCGAGCAGTTGGCTCCACAGCAGACAGCTGCTGGGACGTTACAACGCCATAAATGCCCAACGTTCCTTTGCAATAAATGGGCGGTTTTTTGGACGAATAAATGCGAACGAGCTGGACATTGATTGCCAACATTCATATCCATTAAACCTCCATTAACACACCTCCAAATCCTTCCTATAAGTAGCTGGCAGGTGATTTGCAACAAGACACCACTCACAAACGTACTCACACAGTTTGAGCTCTAGAAAAACACCTCCAGTTTCCGAAATTCCTTCTGTGTTCTAAACTTTGTTCTCGTTCGTTGGAACTTTAGTTTGAGTGCTAAACTATTGTTCGAAGTCATCGTATCCTGGGAAACGATCGTTGCAACGCTCCTGGCACCCCGGGAGGCAACGAATACATTTTAAGGAAATCGTGCGTGGCACGAGCTTTGACTTATTCTGCTCCATCTCTTTTCTTGTTTTCTTTCGTCATTTTTAATTAATTTATTTTAATTAATTTCCTTTATTTTCCGAAACACACCCAACATTTTGTTCTTTTAATGCTACGTTATGTAATAAATAATGTTTAGCATTTGACTTTTAATACTCCGTATTAAACTTTAGAGTAAATATAATCTTCCTTTGGTTTAACTAAACATTATTCAGTTTCTAAAGAAAGATTATATATCATCTAAAGTTTAAGAATTTATGGACATACGTTTTAAACTTCTTAAACTTATACTACCTCCCTCCCAAAATACTTTATCAAATTCAAAACTATGACCAATTATATATATATATATATATATACTATATATATTAGAAATTATTTATAATATAAAATATGAAAATGTTCTCTATTAAAATAATTTCATAAAAGTATAACACTTATAATTTTTAGTAATATTATATTATACTAATCAAAATCATGGTCCAAATTTTAAGATTTGGCTAAATATTTTGAGAAGGAGCTATATAAATTAAGTCATACTCTCGCAATAAAAATTTCATTTTGCCGGATTTAACAAATTAGTATTACGAAGATTTAAATGAGGTGCCTCCGCCAGAATGTGACTAGTACGTTCATAAAATATACTAGCAAAAAATAAACCACTTTTATTCTGAGCAAACTTCTCTTAAATGGGATTGCATAGTCCTTTTTAATTTTGGAGAAGAAAATAATGCAACTTCAATTTAAGAATATTTGCTATATGCTTTAATCATATTTATTTACTTTTTCAATTCCTAAAACCATTGATAATGGTGTAAAAAACCATTAGTGATTAATTACGAAACCAAAATTAGACAAGGATCGACTAATAAGTTAATAATAAGGGCCTAAAAACATTGAAGTTCCGAATAGAAGATACAAATGGTACATTTTCTCTTTGCCGAACAAACAATCCCTTCAACAACATAAAATGTGAAAATCATCTGACTGCTCTTTTCGATCAGAAGTGGAGCATTCAAGCCTCTACTACATAAACACAGTCCCAAAAATAAAAACATAAGAAAAGAAAATGGGGAGTAGTGGTGAATAATATATCATCACTCAGTACAAAAATAGAAATTAAAAATAAACTCGAGATAGACCTATAGAAGAACGCTAATTAAGGCTTGGAAGGCTGATCGAAAGACCTTATAAAATAAATAAAAAGTAATCAAATTGTATGATGAAAAAGAAATTAATTAAGCAAAGCTTAATTAATTATGATGATGGCCGGATGATCTACATGAGAGCGGTATTCAGCAGTCCATGCCACGAAGATCCAAACCCACCCAGCAGCTGGCTCCCTCCGGCGGTGGCCGCCGCGCTTTGGTGGTGGTGGTGATAATCCCCTCCTCCGCCCACGGCGGATCCCGAGTGCCACGGAAATGACCATAATAGCCCCCTCTCGCCGTCGCTCTCACCACCTTCATGATTATTGTCATCATTATTATGATCCCCTCCACCTCCTCCTGCTGACGTGGCCACCCCGTCATACGAAATCCCGCCAATTTCGTGGCTCTCCATATTACCCATCATCCCATCATTCATCGCCGCCCCGCCGCCGCCGTAGTACATGTTCTGGAACAGCCCCGTGTTTCCCGGAGATTCAAGAAAGTTGCCGTAGGGGGCATTATTGAGACTACACATCATGGGCATGTCGTCGATCCCGAAGTTCGACTGTTTCTGCAGCCGAGCGATCGCAAAGCTCAGATCGCTCGGCTCGTAGGGCAAGGCCCCCGGCGCGAGGGAGGAGGAGAGCAGCGGGTTCGGCGGGGTGGAGCACAAGGACTGGTCCTGGCTCCGGCACCGGGAGGAGGAGGCGGAGGGCCTCTTGTTTTTACGGCAGCCGCCGCCAACGGGGACGTTGCGGAGGGTCCCGCCTTTGGTCCAGTACCTGCGGCATGACTTGCAGAAGTACCTGGGCTGGGAGAGGCTGTAGTTGTTGTAGTAGCAGAATTTGGTGTTGGCGGAGTCACAGCGAGGGCATTTTAGGGATTGCCCATCTGCTGGCCTTGGCTTCCTCTCTTGGGATTGTGGCTGTCCACACCCTAGCATGCTTTGTAGGGTTTGTGTTGTCATTTCCTATATTATAATCACAAGAAAAATAAATTTAGCCAAATCATTTCATTCAATTATATCACTGATTAACAACACATTTGCAATTAACAATGTGAGGAATATTAAAAATGTGGTAAACAAAAAGCAAATAAATCATAATCCCCACTCAAGAAGGAGAAAATTATAACAATGAAAAAGATTCAATAATTAAGATTACAAACACAACACAACTTATTTAGTCATACACTTAAACAAATGATGCATTGCTTTAATTTTATTCTTTCGTACAAGCAGTACAACTTAATGAGTTTTTATTATTATTATAAATACATTGACACTTCTCTTAGACACATATTTGTAGAGCTTTTTTTTTTTAAATTCATTAGCAATCAGTATATGAAATGGCAAAAACATCCTATTTTTAGATTCCACATCCTTAATTACAACAAAAACAAACCACTTTCAATGCCTTATCCATTTACAGGGCAAGGAGAACCTTATGTAACTAACATGCTCATAGAGTATGACATTTCCCTCTATCCCAAAATAGAATCTTAGCTGAGATAAAAATGGGATTTTTCTTTTCTTTAAAAAAGAATTGACTTTTAGTGTTCTTGATGTTTTCAGTGATGAAAAAGTGACCATAATTTTGATTATCCCACTACTACAAAACATGTAAAATATGTTATGAAGAGAGTAGCATACTAAAATACTAGCGGTTTAATTAATTACCTGAGCACTTGAAGAATCCATCCCATACACCAATTTGGGATTTTTGAAGTTACACTTTAGGGCAAGGCAAAAAAAAGATCAAGCTTTGAGATATTTGATGGATTGAAGGGAGAAGAAGAAGTAATGAGCCTGCAGATAGATGACAAGGAAAGAACTAAGTTGAGAAGGCAAAGGTTGTTTGGGAGAAAGACAAGGGCAGACACATATATAGACAGATAGGGATAGGAATAGAGGGGGAGAGATGATGGAGTGGTAATAATTATTCAAGGGTTCTTGTACTGGGGATGCGTGTATTGTGGGCAGAGATAGGGACTAGATAGACAACTAGGGAATCTCTCTATTTTTTATTTTTTTATTTTTTGTATAGGGCAAAATAGAGGATTGTTCTTTTTGACCGTTTTTTTCTTGTCTGATTTGTTTTTGATCCGTATGGATTAATTTAATCTTGTGGGTTGTTAGTTTAATATTAAGTTTGATTTGGTCCAACTTGATTTGATTAGGAATGAAATGATTAGAGTCAAGTTTAAATAATTAGATTTACAACGACTTTTTGTAATTAATTTCAATTCACAATGCATTTGTTAATTACGCATCATTAATTAGTAAATGGTAACAATAATTACTGTTTGACAGTATATATTACACGCAACTATAATAAACCGTAATTTGTAGCTTAACTTGTCATTGATACGGAGTAAATTTTATTTATAATATTCTTAAAATTAGAATTGTACCATGGATTACTAGTACTCCGTAATTTTTACCTTGAATGAATCCATGTCCCAATCATATTTTGTCAAGCCAAATAGCTTTTGTGCCAATCTAAATTGATTGTCACACTAATTATCAGATTGAACTCCAATGATAAAACTATGAGATAAAATACACAACTAGATAATTTTTTAGCATAATTAATGGACTTTCTTTAAAGAAAACTAAGTTTTGTTCATTTATACCACCACTCCTCTCTTTTTGCACACTAGGAATAAGTAAAAAGGTCATTTTTTATACTAAAAGGTTCAATTGTATAATCAAACTAATTCAATTGTTAATTTTAATATATTTAATTAACTTGATGGTAAAGTCAATTCTTCAACCATAATAATACTTGAATTTATTATTATTATATACTCTCTCTGTTTTGTTATAATTGGGCGAATTTAATTTGGGAGAATTTGACTTTGCACCCCATGTTTTGGTTAATATTGGACTTTGCACCCCATTTTCAAAATCATTAATATTTGCACCCTATTTCACTATATAATCATTTGACTTTGCACCCCACTCCTTCACAATTTTTGAGCTAATGGGGTGCAAATATTAATGATTTTGAATATGGGGTGCAAAGTCTAATATGGCCTAAAACATGGGGTGCAAAGTCAAATTCCCCCATTTAATTTTCACGTTTGTAAGACACATTTTGAATGTGATTAGACTTAATTACGTATTCCTACGTAATAAACATTATAAAAATTAATATTTCGCATGTTCATATTAAGAGAAATTTAATCTATACTAACTTGATTATAATCCGTATATTAGAAAATCCTTATCAAAATAAGACAGGTGAATAGTGTAAAACTTAAAATGCTACAATTATTAAAGAATGGAGGAAGTACGTATTAAGACTATAAAATGTGTTCTATCAACGTGCCAAAACGTATATCATACCCCTTCCGTCCCGAAAAGGTTTGCCAAATTTCCTTTTTTGAATGTCCTTAAAAGATTTGTCATTTCCATTTAAAGTAAGAAATATGTAGCTAAAGTTAATTCTCTCTCCTCTGCACAAATTTCAACCACACAATGTTTATTTTATTAATTTACGTGAAAGTCAAAATTGTCGAACTTTTTCGGAACGGGGAGTACTACGTATGAACAATTGTAGACAAAATAACATATTCATAAAAATACATACACGTACTACGTATCACGTACATCTTGAAATAGTAAAGGTAAATTTCTTTGAAATGAAGGGCATAAGTGAAACGTTCATTCCATTTGAATTACCAATTATACATGGATTCAAAATAGGTGTAATAACCTAACCAGGTTTTCGTACGTGAAAATCACAATTATGGAGAAATAACATAAATGTACAAAAAAGCCTCAAGAATTGAACTAAATTCTGGAGAAATTTGAGGATTTATTTATGGTTTGCTAAAATTGAGTAAGAACAAAAACGGATTGATTCATCGCAAAAAAAAAAAACGGATTGATTGATAAGCATGGACATTGGGGGGAGTGGTGTGGGCCCCGACGGCGTGAGAGTGCAACTATATGATGGGTCCTACAAGAGCTGCTACTCATTTCAGTGGCCCCTACTTCAGTTCCTTCCCTGATCTTCTATTGTTTATTTTTAGCCTCCCAAAATTCCACCTGGCCCCACCATTTTTATTCCTTATTTTCAAATCCATCATTTGTTTGATGGTACAAATATTACGGAGTAATTCGTTGTGTTTTCTTGTTTAAAATTCTGCTTATGCTTCTTTTTTAAAAGCAAGTAGAATCAAAATTAGTTTTCAGAAGTTGTTACCTCCCAGCTTCTAAAAAACTCATTTTAAGAGTAAATTAGAGCTGTCCCTTCGGGGACATCCGATAAAATTGGAACAATACAGAGAGTAAATTAGAGCTCCAGAAGTGCTTCTAGAATTTCACCAAATACTCCAACTTCTACTTCTGCTCCCTGAATGAGCAGAATCAGTTTTGAAAATCAGATTCAAACACTCCATAGTACCCCATTTTGGTATCCCATTTTTATCCTACATATTGTGTAGCCCAAATGGGGCAATATGGGGCAACTGAGCAACTCATTTAAATGTGGTCTCATTTGGATCAGACAAAGTGTGGGATAAAAATGAGGTACCCCAAAATTGGGTACCTACTACCGATATCACAACTCATTAGAATATATAAGGAGTTCACAAAATCTTGACTGCAAACACCGTCCAGCCGTCGTGATTTAGAGTGGTTCATGATTTATTTTTTATAAAGTTTCGTCCATATATTTTAAATGAATTTTAAATGAATTGTAGATTATATCCATAAAGTTTCACTTTAAAACGTCATTTTTAACTAGAAAGTTCATTTGTATCCTCAAACTAATTTTTCTGTTAAAGAAATGATTGAAAAGTACTCTGTCAAATATATATATATATATATGTATGTATGTATGTATGTGTATATATATATATATAATGCAATATTTTTAATACTTTGTTTAACTGACTTCCCGATCGAGTTTTAAGGTGAAGTTTTGTATATACAATCAAAATTTCATGAAGAACATGAGCAAACAATTTCATCAAAAAACTTCATTGGGAATTGTCTCAAATCGCGGCGGCCAGACAACGGTTACCTCTGCAATTTTGAAGGTAAACTTTTCTCTATCTCCCTGTATGTGTATGTGGGGGGGGGGGGGGGGGGATCTGGTACAAAATGTGCTTATTGTGCAAAAATTTGTACGATTTATCTTTTTAATATTAGTATTTTTATTGCATATAAATGTTCAAAGTGTTGCACATTATTTTGTGATGAAGTAAACACTTACTCCCTCCGTCCCAATTTGATGATCCCGTATTTCCTTTCTGGGCCGTCCCAAATTGATAGTCCCATTTCTCTTTTTGGAAAGAAATATGTGGTTCACATCATTTCACTTTTTTCTACTCAAATCTCAATCACAACTTTTAACTTTTCAACCACTTCCTTAATCTTTGAGCCCAAAAGAAATGGGATCATCAAATTGGGACGGAGGGAGTACATATTAACATTCAAGGTGTTGCATCCGAAAATAGTTTTATTTTTTTACCAAAATGTCAAAGTGCTTTTCCAACCATGAGATCAATTCAACAGATGACCAATAAGGGTGGAGTTACTCTTTTGGATTGTGGTGTCAAATGACACGACTGGAGTTATATATTTAATGTATATATTGAAAGTGTTGAAAATATATATAATACGTATTCGCTATATATATTATAGTGAATATATCACAATTTTGAAAAATACATCAAATGACACCACAATTGTTTTATATAAACGGGGTCAATATATAATATGTATTCGCTATATCTCACGAGTATTTGCATGTGTGAACATTTTAAAAAACAAATACATATTGTTATGATGATTTCTTAATTAATTAGTTGTTGGGTTAATAGCCCAAGACAAGATCGGTCCATTTCCCCCATGATGAAGAAGGGGTCGAGTAACGGACCGCGAGGCACGTCCGACGCTCGTCCGATGTACGCGACGCTTGTCACATGTACCCTTGTCCAGGTAAGGCCAGTCACTTGAGGTCCTCAGTGGAGACGCTCGGCGAGGCCCGAGCATGGCCTTGTGCTTGCTTGAATCCAGAACCAGGAAGCCTTGGATATGATCGTCTGGACATTTGGCGGGAAAGCAAGATATTGACGGAAAACGCATTTAATGCACCATACTTGGTGGTTGGGAAGTTAGCCACTCATGATCCTCCACATAATCACTACCACCTACCCTATTGTAGTATAAATAACAACATATATTTAATAGTTAGCAGTTGACAACTGGTACTCTCTAGCAATAGCTATTATTTCCCTGTATTCATAGCTCAGATATATGTTCGGCTCAGCTAATCAGTAGGGTGTGATGTATTTGTTCTTGATTGCTTAATAAGAACTCGGCTCACTTACTGTCTCTCTTTCTTACTTGCTATTTACTTGTGCCATCTAAAATACTCATGCCACTAACATATCCATTGAAACCAAAGGGAAGGTGTTCGGTCCTTGGAGTCAGAGGAATAAACCTCAACACTAGCGCCGTCTGTGGGAAATTCAATAAAAAGTTACTGAGCAAGCTCTTACACTAAGCAACATCCTTTCGAACTCTTCCAACAAGAAAATGGTTCGATTTTCATCTGAACACACATGTGACTTCTCCGAGCAGCTGACAAACAGCTGAAGGTCACACACCCTGACGTCCGTCTGGCCACCTAGAAATGAATAGACCCAACGGGGCAATGTCAGGTATGAAATGAATATGATTCCCCCTGAGGCCAGAAGGGACCCACGAATCATGAGGGAAATGGCAGAGTCCATGCGCCGCATGGCTAATGAGAATGACGCAGAGCGGATTGTGTACTCGACAGAGATTGAACATACACCTCCACCCCCATCCGACATATGAAATTGTTTGAGGACTACACTGATGAGGCTGAGGGCTTTCTTACCTCGGTCCACACGCGGTTTGGTGGGACCCCACGCTCCCAGGATATGGGAGGTCAAAGGGCCGGGGA